CAGCACTTGCCCCACGAGCGTGTGTGGGCTAGACGGGGGACCTTTGTATGTGTACGTGTGTCTACTCACACACACAGCGCCACTGACCTTTGCACGCCGCTCTTCACGTCTCGCTACCAAACTCTCCCCGCCTCTCACTCTGCCTCTCCCTGTTTCTCTCATTTCCTCCTTTCTCCCTCTGTCTCTCTCTCTCTTTGTATCTCTCTCGCTGTCTCTCTGTCTCTGTCTCTCTCTGTGTCTCTCTGTATCTCTCTTTTTCTCTTTCTCTCTCTGTCTCTCTGTCTCTCTGTCTCTTTTTACGATCAGTGGAAACAAGAAGATGCTCGGTGTAGTCGGCACTTTGCTTCGTTCATAATTTCGTAATTTTGTTTTACTTTGCTTTATGTAATCCCCCACCTCTCGCTCACTCTCTCTGTCACTCTTTTTGTCTCTCTCTGTCTCTCTCTGTCTAAAAGCCCCCCTCTGTACCAGCGTACACGGCACCCTCGTGGTGTTCACCTTCTGAAGCGCTCGCTCGTCACCGTGGCGTGCGCGATGACCACCACCACCACCACAACCAGCACCACCACCACAACCACAACCACCACCACAACCACAACCACCACCACAACCACCACCACAACCACCACCACCACGTGACTTTTATTTCGTGTTGTGCGCGGTGCATTTAGCGCCACAGCGCGTGGATTTATAGCGATTATTCGTTTGTTTGTTTGCTGGTGACTTTGTGTATTTCATATCGGAATCGCCTCCAGTGCTGTCCCGGGACCTGAGAACGCGGTCGTCAAGCTCTCGGCTGACACAGACGACGACGTGATTAATCGTGCTCAACGACGCGCGCGTGACGTCTCCGCGCTCTGCCGGGCGGTTGCAGTGTACGAGAGAGAGGGCCTCCTCCGCCAGGGTCAACTGGGCCAAGTGCGAGGCCCCCGCTGTGTTTGGGGTCGCGAGGCGGCGTTCGCTCTGAGCTCCTCCCAGGAGGAGTCGGTTGACAAGCTGACAGAGTCGAGTGCCTGGGGGTTTAGCTGGGAAACCCCCACGACGTCGCTCTGAACAACTGGACCGAGCTAGCCGACACAATCGAGGCTAAATTACTGACATGGGCACGCCTCGCTCCGCAGATGTCATTCAGGGGCCGAGTGCTCGTCGCTAACACCCTGGCAGCAGCATCCGTGCCGTGGCACAAGACCAAGGCCCTGCAGCCTCCTGCTTGACCACTCACCAGAGTCAACCGCTCACTCCACGCGCACTTAGTCTGGCACGGGAAGCACCGGCTCAGGCCGGGCGTTCTCTGCCTGCCGGTGGGCGAGGGCGGCCAGGGTCTGGTGGACATCACCGCCAGGGTCACGAGCTTCAGGGTCATGAGCTTCAGGGTCACGAGCTTCAGGCTCATGGAAGTCAGGCGGCTTCTTGTTGACCGGGAGGAGCTACCCTGGAAGTCGCCGGCCCTCGCCCTGCTGAGGAATGCGGGGGGGTGCCCGGGGTACGGAAAGGAGCTCTTCCTGATGGACCTGAGCCAGGTTATGACCAGACACAAAATCGAGAGACCATTTCTCTCCTCTCATTGCGGCCGCCCCCCAGTGGAAACAAATGTACAAGTCTCCCCCGTAGCCAAACGCTGCGGTGACCTCCAGTGGAGGTTGGCACACTGCACGTTGCCATCGGCCGTGTGGCTCAGCCGAATCTCGCCAGGGGTAACATACTTGTGCATTTCCTGCGGTGCCAGGGAGGATCTGCCCCACCAATACTTACGCCGCCAGCGGCTCAAACCAATGTTCCGCCTTTTGGGGGACATCTTCAGGAAACTGGGGGTGCCCTTCTACAACAGCAGCTTCGTATATGGGGTGGTGCCTTACCTGGCTAACAAACGCCATGACCTCGCCAACTTCGCCTGTGCTCAGGCGAAGATGGCGGTGTACAGAACGAGGAAGAAGATGCTGCAAGGTGACACTGACGGCTGTTCTGTGCTGCTTCCAGTGTTCAGGGGCCTGCTCAAGGCGCGGCTCCGGCTGGAGCACGCGTACCACACACATGTCGGTGATGTGCACGTCTTCTTCGAACGCTGGGGAGCCGGACAAGCCCCTCTCTGTACCAGCGTGGACGGCAACCTCGTGTTCACCTTCTGAAGCGCTCGCTCGTCACCGTGGCGTGCGCGATGACCACCACCACCACAACCACCATCACCACGTGACTTTTATTTCGTGTTGTGCGCGGCGCATTTAGAGCCACAGCGCGTGGATGTAGAGTAATAGGGTTTTCCCTTTTTTCTGGCAACAAAACTGAAACCTTTTTACGAGGATCCATGTAACTGCATTAACCACAATACTTGCGGTCAAAATGCAAACAAAACACACGCTAAAGAAAAGGTTTCAGTTTTGTTGCCAGAAAAAAGGGGAGAACCCCGATTATTATATTTTGGTACTGGCAAAGGAGGTCTCATGATGATGATGATAGATGTAGAGTGTTTGTTAATTTGTGTTGCTGGTGACTTTGTGTGTTTCGAATCGGAACACCCTCCAGTGCTGTTGCTGCTGGGAAATAAAAGTTGTTTAAAAGTAAAAAAGAAGTCTGACTCTCTCCCTGTGTGTGTCTCCCTCCCACCCGCGTTGAGTGAGAAGCGGGCGGCAATCAGCCCCCCACCCCCCTCACCCCCCACCATGCCCCCCTCACCCCTCACCCCTCACCCTCCTCACCCTCCTCACCCTCCTCACCCCCCCGCCCCCCTCTTCCCCCTCGCCCCCCTCGCCCCCCACGCCTTTCCCCCACCCTCCATCCCCCACCCACAGTGGGGGCAGGGGGAGGTCACGGGGTCACTCCCCGCTACAGCCCTGGCTGGCTACTGCTGCTGCTACTTCTACTAATGCTACTGCTGCTGCTTCTACTAATGCTACTGCTTCTACTGCTGCTACTGCTGCTGCTTCTACTAATGCTACTGCTTCTACTGCTGCTACTACTTCTACTACTACTGATGCTTCTACTAATGCTACTGCTTCTGCTTCTACTAATGCTACTGCTGCTGCTTCTACTAATGCTACTGCTGCTGCTACTTCTACTAATGCTGCTGCTTCTACTAATGCTACTGCTGCTGCTTCTACTAATGCTACTGCTGCTGCTTTTACTCATGCTGCTGCTTCTACTAATGCTACTGCTGCTGCTTCTACTCATGCTGCTGCTTCTACTAATGCTACTGCTGCTACTTCTACTAATGCTACTGCTTCTACTAATGCTACTGCTGCTACTTCTACTAATGCTGCTGCTTCTACTCATGCTGCTGCTTCTACTAATGCTACTGCTGCTGCTTCTACTAATGCTACTGCTTCTACTAATGCTACTGCTTCTACTAATGCTACTGCTACTACTTCTACTGCTGCTACTGCTGCTGGCTGCCGCTCGTGGCAGCCTGAGATCGATCACGTGGCAGCCGAGGCGTTGGTGGATCACGCACAGATGGGCTGACGAACCCGGCCCCTCCCCTCACCCCCCCCTCACCCACCCCCCCTCCCCCCCACCCGCCGCCTACGTCACAAACCCCGTCAAAACGTCACAGGCGGACGTCACGCTGCGAGCAAAGAGCTTTACGGCTCATCGGATTCCTCCTGAGCCGCGACAGCCAGCGGCTCGCCACGTGGCGCGTCAACAACGCCTCTGGCTGCGGCCCAATATAGCAGGCGACGTTTCGGGCGATGGCCCTTCTTCATTGGCGCATGGACAGAGAGTGCACAGAGTACCGGTTGGAGTCCGGATTCGGACTATCACACAAGGCCTGGAGCCCTCACAGAGCAGCAAGAGCCGGTAAGGCCACGTAGCTTGACCAACACGAGCATTCGCAATTACAGACAAGGATTATTGAATCCATCTGTGCGGAGCTTAGAGTATCTCCCCCCCCCCCCCACCCGCTTCTCCCTGGTACGCGGTGCTGGGTGTTTGTATTTGTTCTTTAAAGTTTCTCTCACGGGAAGGCGAAATCTCACTGATTGAATCATCAGAGACCCATCGACTCACACAGGGACCCATAGACTCGCATAGAGACCCATAGACTCACGTAGAGACCCATAGACTCACGTAGAGACCCATAGACTCACGTAGAGACCCATAGACTCACATAGACCCATAGACTCGCATAGAGGCCCATAGACTCACGTAGAGACCCATCGACTTGCATAGAGACCCATCGACTCGCATAGAGACCCATCGACTCGCATAGAGATCCATAAACTCACACAGGGACCCACAGACTCGCATAGAGGCCCATAGACTCACATAGAGACCCATAGACTCACATAGAGACCCATCGACTCATGTAGAGACCCATAGACTCACGTAGAGACCCATAGACTCACAGAGAGGCTCCAATTCATTCATGGCATTCATGGGTGGAGGGGTGAGTGGAGAGGTGATCACGTGAGTGGAGGGGTGAGCACGTGGGTGGAGGGGTTAGAGGAGATAAAGGCAAAGATCCCCCCTATAGCCCACGAAGGCTGTTGGGGTCAAGTGCTGAGTCGCACCTATGAAGGCCGGCACGGCACACGAGGGGGTGGATGGCCAGCACCACGCCCGGCCGCCTTTGTCTTCCTAGCGGCAATGTTTACACATCACACCAGGTACTCATTTGAAGCTGAGTCGACCTAGGGGAGGCCCAGGACCGGTTCAGATAATCGTCACTGGTGTTGGCCGTGAGCGGGAATCGAACCCGGGTCGCCAGGTTCATAGCGCAGCGCGCTAACCGCTACACCACCGCTCCCCACACACACTGACACGTGAACACACACACACGTGAACACACACACAGGTTTAACACACACACACGTGAACTCCACACACACACACGTGAACTCCACACACACACACGGGACACGCGTGACCTCCTCTCAGGCGGTCACGCCGGCCTTGCCTCTGGAGCCCTTCTTAGCTCCGGACTTCTGAGGGCTGCGCTTGAGGAAGCTCCTCATCCTGTCCATCAGTCCACCACCACCGCCGCCACCACCGCGTCCTCCATTTACCTGCGATCTCGTCTCACCATCCTCGTCGTCGTCCTTGCCGACAGGGCGCAGGTCCAGGGCCGACTTGGCGAAGGCGGCCCGCGTCCCCGCGGCCGAGGCGGCCAGGGGGTCGCGCGTCGCCTCGCCGGCCGAGCTGAGCGCCTGGGCCGCAGGACGCGGGACGGGAGGGGCCGGGCGGGGAGGGGGGCGGCCCGGGGCGGCCACGGCGGCGGCGGCGTCCCGGGGGAGGCTGGCGGCGTCGGCGCTCGCCTTCTCCGCCTCGAAGGAGACGCAGGCCTCCACCTTGTGGCGCTCCACGCAGTCCGGGATGCCCAGGTGGTCCGTCACGTCCTGGCCGCGGCCGCCGCCGTTCATCTCCATCATCTTCTGCTGACGATGATGCTGCTGATGATGCTGTTGGTGTTGGTCCCTCCGCGCGTCCTTCTGCTCCAGAAGCCGCTTCCCCGGCGAGTCCTTCGCGTCGGGGGCCGCCGTTCCGGCACCGGCCGCGGCGGCAGCGGCCGCGGCGGCGGCCTCCCGGTTGGCCGCCCCGGCCTTGACGAGCGCGTAGAGCGGGCTGGCCGCCGAGCGCATGGGCAGGTTGATGGCCTTCGGGGTGATGGGGTAGAGGGGCCGCGTGCCGGGCCCCGGTCGGCCCTTGTCGTCGTTGTTGGCGGCGGTGGCGGTGGGCCGCGAGTCGCTGCCAAATACGGGCCGCGACTGCGCGTACAGAGTGCGGAACTCCGTGTCGAAGGCCTCCACCGCCTGGCCCGAGAGCACGGTGAGGAGGTGGCGGTCGAGGTGCGACGACGACCACGTGTAGCTGGGGGGGGCACGGGGGGGGCACAGGGGGGGGCATAGGGGGGGTGTTATTGCCGGGCTGCTGGTGGTGGTGTTGCTTATGGGAGCGCCACGCTGCGCTACGAACCCGGCTACCCGGGTTCGAATCCCGCTCACGGCCAACACCGGTGACGATTATCTGAACCGGTCCTGGGCCTCCCCTAAGTCGCCTCGGCCTCAAAATGAGTACCCGGTGTGGTGTGTAAACATCGCCACTGGGGAGACAAAGGCGGCCGGGCGTGGTGTTGGCCACCCACCCCCTCGTGCGCCGTGCCGGCCTTCATAGGCGCTGCTGCTCGCTAACAGCACTTGCCCCAACAGTCTGTTACAGGCTACACGGGGGATCTTTGTCTTTTTTTCTGCTTGTCACGTGGCCGGCATGCCCAGACGACGCCTCATGCCGCCCGAGCAGCTTCTGTTTGGCCGGATCGAGGTGGGGAGGGGAGGGGAGGGCGGGGAGGGAGCTAAACGTGCACGGCGCGGGCTGGAGGAGAAGGGAGGGAGCCAATGCGGCGTGCGGGAGGACGTGGGGCCGAGCGGCCTTGCCGGAGACCGGCACCAGCGGTGTGCAGCGTGACCGTGCTCTGTGGACCGGGGGCCAGGAGGGTGACCGTGCTCTGTGGACCGGGGGCCAGGAGGGTGACCGTGCTCTGTGGACCGGGGGCCAGGAGGGTGACCGTGCTCTGTGGACCGGGGGCCAGGAGGGTGACCGTGCTCTGTGGACCGGGGGCCAGGAGGGTGACCGTGCTCTGTGGACCGGGGGCCAGGAGGGTGACCGTGCTCTGTGGACCGGGGGCCAGGAGGGTGACCGTGCTCTGTGGACCGGGGGCCAGGAGGGTGACCGTGCTCTGTGGATCGGGGGCCAGGAGGGTGACCGTGCTCTGTGGACCGGGGGCCAGGAGGGTGACCGTGCTCTGTGGACCGGGGGCTAGGAGGGTGACCGTGCTCTGTGGACCGGGGGCCAGGAGGGTGACCGTGCTCTGTGGACCGGGGGCCAGGAGGGTGACCGTGCTCTGTGGATCGGGGGCCAGGAGGGTGACCGTGCTCTGGCTCGCGCTCGGAATCGGGGTCTGGATCCAGGTCGTGGGGTAGGGGGGGGGTCAGGGTCAGGGCCGGGGTCAAAGTCAGGGTCACGGTATAGGTCGTGGTGGTGGTCTTGGTTGGGGTCAAGGTCAGGGTCGATGATAAGGTCGGGGTCACGGTCGGGGTCAAGGTCAGGGTCGATGACAAGGCCGCGGTCGAGGTCATTGTCTAGGTAGAGGTCAAGGTCGTGGTCAAGGCCACGGTCAGTGTCAGGACCTAGGTCGGGGTCGAGGTCGCGGTCAAGATCTAATTCGGGGTCAAGGTCGGGGTCACGGTCGGGGTCACGGTCGGGGTCAAGGTCGGGGTCAAGGTCGAGGTCAGGGACCAAGGTTGGGGTGAATGGCAATGTCGGAATCCGGGTCAAGGTTGGTATCAAGGTCAGCGGGGGGTCGGGGGTCAGGGGTCGTGGCTTGGCTGACCTGTAGGTGCCGGTGGCGGCCTTGTCCCCGTCCACGAGGATCACCCGGTGGGCCATGCGGCCGGGGAGACGCGCGCCGGAGCGCGAGCAGAACTCCAGCCCGCCCAGCGAGCGCACGCGCACCTTCTGGGTCACGCGGGGTCACGCGGGGTCACGCGGGGTCACGCGGGGAAGAAGAGGGAGAGAAACGGGGAGACGCGGGGACAGAGGGGGGAGACGCGAGGGGGATGCTCTGTGAGTCACGGGGGTTGTTTGACCATACTTCACCACGTTGGTCAGTGCCGGTGGGTCAAGTGTTGGCACGGTCGACTGGCGTCTCACTCGCCACTCGTGTTGACCGTGGCAGGTCACCGGGTTCAAGGGGCAGTGCGCTAACCACGGCGCCGCCGCTCCCTCCGTCGCGTTCGTGTAGCGCGTCGGGAATACCTGAACCGGTCCTGGGCCTCCCCTAGGTCGACTCAGCCTGAAGTTAATACCCGGTGCGGTGTGCAGACATGGGCATTGGGGAGACAAAGGCGGCCCCCCACCATCTCCTCGTGTGCCACATTGCTGCTGCTCGCTAACAACACTTGCCCCGGCAGTCTGTGAAGGCTACATGGGGCGGGGGGGTCTTTGTCTTTGTGTACTTGTGTAGCGGTGTGTGGCCTCGTGACGCGATCCGCAGGCCACCGCATCAGCCCCCCACTTCTTTGTGAGCCCCCCCGCCCCCACTGAGCCCCCCCCCCTCACTGTGTGAACCCCCCCCACTGGGCCCCCCTCCCCCACTGAGCCCCCCCCCACTGAGCCCCCCCCCCACTGAGCCCCCCCCACTGTGTGAATCCCCCCCACTGAGCCCCCCTCCCCCCTGAGCCCCCCCCCACTGAGCCCCCACTGTGTGAACCCCCCCCCACTGAGCCCCCCTCCCCCCTGAGCCCCCCCCCCCACTAAGCCCCCACTGTGTGAACTCCCCCACTGAGCCCCCCCACTGAGCCCCCCACTGAGCCCCCCCCCACTGTGTGAGCCCCCCCCCCACTGAGCCCCCCCCCCCACTGACCCCCCCCCACTGACCCCCCCACTGCCCCCCCCCCCGTGCGAGCCCCCACCCTCTGCGTGCTCAGGTCCACCCCGAGGTTGCGACTCGTGTCCAGCAGGGGCCCCACGCCGGCGGCGTCCAGCAGCAGGTAGACGGGGACGCCGCGGCGCGCCGCCTCCAGCAGGTCGCCCAGCACGTCCGCGTCCGTCAGCTCGTCCACGGCCAGCGCCACCAGCTGGGGGGTGGGGGGGCGGGGCGGGGGGTGGTGGGGGGCACGGTCCTCGTCAGTGGCGCTCGCCCGCTCGCTCAGTCACTCGCTCAGTCAATCACTCGCTCAGTCGCTTGCTCACTCGCTCAGTCACTCGCTCGCTCACTCGCTCAGTCGCTCAGTCGCTCGCTCAGTCACTCGCTCGCTCACTCGCTCAGTCGCTCGCTCAGTCGCTCGCTCGCCCGCTCTGTCACTCGCTCACTCGCTCACTCACTCGCTCGCTCAGTCGCTCGCTCACTCGCTCGCTCAGTCGCTCGCTCACTCACTCGCTCGCTCACTCACTCACTCACTCGCTCAGTCGCTCACTCAGTCGCTCGCTCACTCACTCGCTCGCTCACTCACTCACTCGCTCAGTCGCTCTCTCAGTCAATTGCTCACTCGCTCACTCGCTCAGTCAATCGCTCGCTCAGTCACTCGCTCAGTCACTCGCCCGAGCCGCTCGCTCGCTCAATCACACGCGCGCGGAAGCGGACACCACAGAACGACCTCTGAGATGTCTTATTCATCACGTGACACTCTGGTCCACAGACACACGGAACGGCGCCACAGAAGCGGATACCACAGAACTACCTCTGAGATGTATTATTCGTCACGTGACACTCTGGTCCACGCACACAGACACAAGCACGGAACGGCGCCACAGAAGCGGACACCGCAGATCCGCCTCCGAGCCCCCCGCCGCGCCGCGCCCACCTGCTTGGCGCCCTGCACCAGCTCCCGCACCGTCTCCTTGGGGCTCGGGGCGCCGTCGTCGGCGCCGGGGTGCGCGCTCACGGTGACGCGCGTCGCCCCGCGGTACGCGCTCGAGCCGGGCCAGCCCAGGTCGAGGTCGGGGGCGTCGCGCTCCGAGCGCTCGGGCCAGTAGGTGAGGGAGCCCGTCGAAGCGCCGACGCCGACGGTCGCGTCGCAGCCGGCGGCGTCACCGGCCCCGGCCGCCGGCCTCTTGCGGAGCCCCGGGTCGCCGTGCCGAGCCGTACGCAGCAGCGCACGCACCTGCGGGGGGGGGGGGGGGGGGCGAGAGGCGGCGGTGGGCGGAGCGGGGGGTGGCGACGTCGCTGCTGTGCGCTCTGGCTTAGGGGGCGCACCCAGCGGCAGCTGCCCCTGCGTGCCGCGAGGCTGTCATGTCGTCACGTCAGGGGGAAGGCGACGCTGATGTCGGGGACCGGACACGTTGTCTCAAGCACTTTTGAGCGCCGTGGTGGCTTGGAGATGTTGACTGCCTCGCCTGGTATACAGGAGGTCGTGGGTTCTACCCCGTAGTGTATAGTGTAGTCAATCATACCAATACAGCCGCCATTCGCCACTAAGTGGCGGTGACGTCACCACGGCGCCTGTGCCAGGCTAGGTGCACTTTGAGGTCACGTCAAGTGTCGAAGGCTCGTTGCTGACAGGAGGAGGTCACGGGACAGACCCAGCAGGTGCCATGGGTTGGCTGACTGAGATGACTGGCAGATGCACCACCAGCTGTACCCCCCTACTGTGCCAACTTGCTGTGTTTTATCTGCCCGGCGCTCCGCTCATTGTTGTGAGCGTCGCTCCTCTGCTCTCCATTGTTGTTGGAGGGCGACTGCCTCCAACTGCCCAGTAGCGTCCTTCACGAGCCTCCTCCACTGAGGCCGATCTTGACACCGCTGGTACCAGTCATCGGCACGTCCACTCAGCTCCACGTCCTCCTGTACCACATCACTCCATCTCTTCTCTAGCCCGTGCCGCGCCCGTTTAGCTCCCTCTATGCGGCCAAACAGAAGCTGTTTAGGCATGTGGTGGCAGGGTTTGCAGACTACATGACTCAGCCAGCGCAGCCTTGCCTGCCGGAAGAGCTCACTGATCGGAATGTTTCAAGGATTTGTGAGCTCCTCACACAATCCATCCTGGTTAAACCCAGGATGGATCGTGGGCAGACCAGCCTAAATGTTTCTAACCGGCGCAGATGTTCCATTAGAGGGGTCCACGTTTCACAAGCGTAAAGAAGGGAGGGAATGGCTGTGGCTGAGAAGACCCGAAGCTTCGTGCGGAGCGGCAGACCAGGTAGCTTCCACACAGCAGCATTGCGCAGCCGATGAACAGATAATTCCGCTCGACTGAGTCGGAGTGAGACCTCTGCTGTCAAACCGGAGTTGCTCATGAGCACACTGCCCAGATAGGGGAAACTCTCCACTCTATCCACAACTCTCGTACTCACACAAAGACAAAGATCCCCCGTATAGCCTTGAACAGACTGTTGGGGCAAGTGCTGTTAGCGAGCACCTATGAAGGCCGGCACGGCACACGAGGGGGTGGGTGGCCAGCACCACGCCCGACCGCCTTTGTCTCCCCAGTGGCGATGTCTACACACCGCACCAGGTACTCATTTGAGGCTGAGTCGACCTAGGGGAGGCCCAGGACCGGGTCAGATAATCGTAACTGGGTGTTGGCCGTGAGCGGGGATCGAACTCGGGTCGCCGGGTTCGTAGCGCAGCGTAGCGTGCACACACACACAAACACACGTACATACACACGTGCACACACAAGTGCACACACACACACGTACATAAACACGTACACACACACACGCACGTGCACACACGTGCACACACACACAAGTGCACACACACAAGTGCGCACACACGTGCACACACACACACAAACACACACACACACGTGCACACACACACAAACACACGTGCACACACCCACACACGTGCACACACACACGTACACACACACAAGTGCGCACACACACGTGCACACACACACACACCCACAAACACACGTGCACACACCCACACACGTGCACACCCACACACGTGCACACACACACACACGTACACATACACACGTGCACACACACACACGTACACCCACACACGTACACACACACGTGCACACACACACGTGCACACACACGTACGCCCACACACGTGCACACACACGCGTACCTCGCCTTCGGAGAGGAATGCGCGCAGGTTCTCCTTGCTGGCGAGCTCCCCGTAGGCGCGCTCGCCTCCCTGCAGCAGCGCCTCGAGCGCCAGGCGCTGCGCCTCGGACAGCCGCGAGCGGCCGCGTCGCCTCGCGGAGCCCCCCCCGAGGGCCCCCGGCCCCCCGGGACCCCCCCCGCCGAAGCCCCCCAGGAGCCCCACGTCGCCGTCGAGGCATTCCAGCTGGGAGGCAGCCATCCTTCACCCGTGCAGGTGGGAGCCAGGATTTGAGAGGTGGGTGGTGGTGGTGGGGTGGTGGGTGGGGTGGTGGTGGGTGGGTGGTGGGGTGGGGGGTGGTGAGTGGGTTAGTGGGTGGGGTGGTGGGTGGGGTGGTGGGTTGGTGGACTGGTGGGTGGGTGGTGGATTAATCTATTAGTGGGTGGGTGTGGTGGTGGGTGGTTGGTGGGTGGGTGGTTTCTGGATTGGGAGAGATTGTGGGAAGGGGGGGGGGGTGGTTAAGTCTTCGAATTACATTTCTCCGCACCCCGCTCGCTCAATCAAGGGCAGTCACCAACTCGGATCGTCCACTCGCGTCCGGCTGTCGGTCTCGCTACCCACGTGCTGTGAACGTCCAGGAGAAGGGCGCGATCCAGGGAGGGGCACGGGGGGGTTAGCGCTATGCTGTGCTGCGTAAAAACATCGCCGGGCGTGGTGCTGGCCACCCACCCCCTCGTGTGCCACAGTGCCGGCCTTGATAGGTGCTGCTCGTCTCGTTTGACCAATCGTGATCGTCCTGGAACAGCGACTTCACAGAGCTACCTATCTGACTCGTCACGTGACACCCTGGTCCACACACACACACAGAGAACGGCCCCACAGAAGTGGACACCACAGAGCTACGACTGAGACGTCTTGCTCGTCACGTGACACCCTGGTCCACACACACACACACACAGACCGGTCCCACAAAAGTGGACACAACAGAGCTACGTCTGAGACGTCTTGCTCGTCACGTGACACCCTGGTCCACACACACACAGAGACCGGCCCCACAGAAGTGGACACCACAGAACTACGACTGAGACGTCACGTGACACTCTGGTCCACACACACAGAGACCGGTCCCACAGAAGTGGACACCACAGAACTACGACTGACTCGTCACGTGACACTCTGGTCCACACACACAGAGACCGGCCCCACAGAAGTGGACACCACAGAGCTACGACTGAGACGTCTTGCTCGTCACGTGACCCCACACAAGTGGCAGCACTGTCCCACCCATGCGCCCTGCGCCACGCGAGTCAATGTTTGTGGCGTGACAGTCAAACCGGTATTTTAATTCTCTGAGCTGAACTTTAAACAATTTAAATGCGAAACCAAATTTGATGCGAGGTTTTCTTTTTGCGCAGTCACTGCACTTGGGATCCCGACTCAGCCTGCGATTCTGATGGTCTCTGTGTGAATCTATGGGTCTCTATGTGAGTCTATGGGTCTCTAAGTGAGTCTATGGGTCTCTATGTGAGTCTATGGGTCTCTGTGTGAGTCTATGGGTCTCTGTGTGAGTCTATGGGGTCTGTGTGAGTCTATGGGGTCTGTGTGAGTCTGTGGGTCTCTGTGTGAGTCTATGGGTCTCTGTGTGAGTCGATGGGTCTCTGCGTGAGTCTATGGGTCTCTGTGTGAGTCTATGGGTCTCTGTGTGAGTCTATGGGTCTCTGTGTGAGTCTATGGGTCTCTGTGTGAGTCTATGGGTCTCTGTGTGAGTCTATGGTTCTCTGTGTGAGTCTATGGGTCTCTGTGTGAGTCTATGGGTCTCTGTGTGAGTCTATGGGTCTCTGTGTGAGTCTATGGGTCTCTGTGTGAGTCTATGGGTCTCTGTGTGAGTCTATGGGTCTCTGTGTGAGTCTATGGGTCTCTGTGTGAGTCTATGGGTCTCTGTGTGAGTCTATGGGTCTCTGTGTGAGTCTATGGGTCTCTGTGTGAGTCTATGGTCTCTGTGTGAGTCTATGGGTCTCTGTGTGAGTCTATGGGTCTCTGTGTGAGTCTATGGGTCTCTGTGTGAGTCTATGGGTCTCTGTGTGAGTCTATGGTCTCTGTGTGAGTCTATGGGTCTCTGTGTGAGTCTATGGGTCTCTGTGTGAGTCTATGGGTCTCTGTGTGAGTCTATGGGTCTCTGTGTGAGTCTATGGGTCTCTGTGTGAGTCTATGGGTCTCTGTGTGAGTCTATGGTCTCTGCGTGAGTCTATGGGTCTCTGTGTGAGTCTATGGGTCTCTGTGTGAGTCTATGGGTCTCTGTGTGAGTCTATGGTCTCTGTGTGAGTCTATGGGTCTCTGTGTGAGTCTATGGGTCTCTGTGTGAGTCTATGGGTCTCTGTGTGAGTCTATGGGTCTCTGTGTGAGTCTATGGGTCTCTGTGTGAGTCTATGGGTCTCTGTGTGAGTCTATGGTCTCTGTGTGAGTCTATGGGTCTCTGTGTGAGTCTATGGGTCTCTGTGTGGTCTATGGGTCTCTGTGTGAGTCTATGGGTCTCTGTGTGTGTCTATGGGTCTCTGTGTGAGTCTATGGGTCTCTGTGTGAGTCTATGGGTCTCTGTGTGAGTCTATGGGTCTCTGTGTGAGTCTATGGGTCTCTGTGTGAGTCTATGGGTCTCTGTGTGAGTCTATGGGTCTCTGTGTGTGTCTATGGGTCTCTGTGTGAGTCTATGGGTCTCTGTGTGAGTCTATGGGTCTCTGTGTGAGTCTATGGGTCTCTGTGTGAGTCTATGGGTCTCTGTGTGAGTCTATGGTTCTCTGTGTGAGTCTATGGGTCTCTGTGTGAGTCTATGGGTCTCTGTGTGAGTCTATGGGTCTCTGTGTGAGTCTATGGGTCTCAGTGTGAGTCTATGGGTCTCAGTGTGAGTCTGTGGGTCTCTGTGTGAGTCTATGGGTCTCTGTGTGAGTCTATGGGTCTCAGTGTGAGTCTATGGGTCTCAGTGTGAGTCTATGGGTCTCAGTGTGAGTCTATGGGTCTCAGTGTGAGTCTATGGGTCTCAGTGTGAGTCTATGGGTCTCTGTGTGAGTCTATGGGTCTCTGTGTGAGTCTATGGGTCTCCGTGTGAGTCTATGGGTCTCAGTGTGAGTCTATGGGTCTCAGTGTGAGTCTGTGGGTCTCTGTGTGAGTCTATGGGTCTCTGTGTGAGTCTATGGGTCTCTGTGTGAGTCTATGGGTCTCTGTGTGAGTCTGTGGGTCTCTGTGTGAGTCTGGCCACAATCCTCGCCTCGTCTCGACCCAACTGAGTCATTGGCAGGGAACAAAGGTGCTCCCCACGTCACGTGTCCCACCTGTGGAGATGGGGGGGGAGTGGGGGGGGAGTGGGGGGGGGAGTGGGGGGGGATTTGGTTTCAAGCCCCATCCCCTTGGGAGCCGTTGGTGCTCGAGGTGGGGGTGGGGGGGTTGTGGTGGTGGGGGGTCAAAGGGGGATTGTCGACGGACGCAGCTTCCACCCGGATTTGAATTCGCACGTGAGTTTTCATGGGAGGGCGGGGGGGGGGGGGCGGGGGGGGTGTAAGGGGGTGGTGGGGGGGGTCAAAGGGGGATTGACGACGGACGCAGCTTCCACCCGGAGTTGAATTCGTACGTGAATTTTAATGGGGGAGGGGGCGGAGGGGGGGCGGGGGGGTGTAAGGGGGTGGTGGTGGGGGGGGGGGGTCAAAGGGGGATTGCCGACGGACGCAGTCTACGCCCGGATTTGAATACGCACGTGAGTTTACATGGGAGGGCGGGGGGGGGCGGCGGGGGGGGGGGTGTAAGGGGGTGGTGGGGGGGGGTCAAAGGGGGATTGACGACGGACGCAGCCTCCCCCCAGATTTGAATACGCACGTGCGTTTACATGAGGGGCGGGGGGCGGGGGGGTTCCGTATTTGCATGTCAATGATTGCTGGTGTCAGGTGAGGATGGGGAGCGGTGGGGGAAGTGGTTAGCGCGCAGCGCCACGAAGCCGGCGACCCGAGTTCGATCCCCACTCCCGGGTTCGACCCCCCCAGGTGACGACTGTCTGAACCGGTCCTGGGCCTCCCCGAGGTCGACTCAGCCTTAAAATAAGTAGCCGGCGCGGTGTGCAGACATCGCCGCTGGGGGAGACAAAGGCGGCCGGGCGTGGTGCTGGCCACCCACCGCCCTTCGTGTGCCACAGTGCCGTCAGCCTTCACAGGGGTTGCTGCTGCTCGCTAACTGCACTTGCCCCGGGAATAGAACCGGGGCGCCACCCACAATGTGCGGTGCGAGAGAAGTTCAACACGCGCACACAAATACGACATCCTCGACTATGATGATGATGATGATGACGACGATGATGACGATGATGATGACGACGATGATGACGATGATGATGACGACGACGATGATGATGATGTTGACAACGACGATGATGATGATGTTGACAACGACGATGATGATGACGATGATGGCGATGATGATGATGACGACGATGATGACGATGATGATGACGACGACGATGATGATGATGTTGACAACGACGATGATGATGATGATGACGACGATGATGTTGACGACGATGATGATGACGATGACGACGATGACGATGATGACGACGATGATGATGACGATGATGACGACGATGATGATGACGACGATGACGATGATGACCTCACTGGGCTGTTTACTTCTCGTCTGTCTCCGTGACCTTTACGCGGCGCGCTGCAATCGAACGTCTTGAGTGTGACGGTGGTGGTGATGGTGGTGGTGATGGTGGTGATGGTGGTGGTGATGGTGGTGATGGTGGTGATGGTGATGGTGGTGATGGTGATGGTGGTGATGGTGGTGATGGTGATGGTGGTGGTGGTGATGGTGGTGATGGTGGTGGTGGTGATGGTGGTGATGGTGGTGATGGTGGTGGTGGTGATGGTGGTGGTGATGGTGGTGGTGGTGGTGATGGTGGTGATGGTGGTGATGGTGGTGATGGTGGTGGTGGTGATGGTGGTGGTGGTGATGGTGGTGGTGGTGATGGTGGTGGTGGTGATGGTGGTGGTGGTGATGGTGGTGGTGGTGATGGTGGTGATGGTGGTGGTGATGGTGGTGATGGTGATGGTGGTGATGGTGGTGGTGGTGATGGTGGTGGTGGTGATGGTGGTGATGGTGGTGGTGGTGATGGTGGTGATGGTGATGGTGGTGATGGTGGTGGTGGTGATGGTGGTGGTGGTGATTGTGGTGGTGGTGGTGGTGATGGTGATGATGGTGATGATGGTGATGCTCCCATGGAGAGT